CAGTGAAATTGATCAGTACCAGAAATATCTTCCTGATATACAAGGTAAATAGTGAAAAACTATTTTCTCTGTCTTCTAAACTATAGGGTTTTTTTTTCTTAGAAAATACTTTCCCTAAATTGTAAGCTAGGGGTGAACTGTACCAAGTGTAGATAGATGGAGAATGGTATAGAATCAGAGCATCCTGGGGCTGGGGTTGGGTGTTGTATAAGGTTTTTGATAACCGTCATCATCTGTGTTTGGTGGCTCTGTGTCCTGAAGGATGTCAGAGCACTCACCATCACCCTGTGCCACCAGGAGGGGTGAACTCTTCACTGCTGAGTCAGCCACCAGCCTCAACAGCCATGAAGGACTGGGCTGGGAATGACTCTTGTGTCTCTTTAGTGAGATTATTTCTCTGTCTCAGAAGATAAGTGACTCCTCCTCTCATAACCTTTTATACCTAATATCAGATACACTACATGTACATCATTTGTCCTGTGATTATCGTTTTAGAGTTGACTAGATCATGGACCAGTACCATCCATGAGCATATAAATACAGAAATTTAGACTAAGTGTTTAAATTTTTTACGGCAATTTGACAGAAAATGTTGAAGCTAGTAATAAGAAAATGGCATTTGTATTTTACATCTTTTATTTTTTCTAGTAATTCACTTGTATTATATTAAAATATCAATCTGCAACAACAGATGGGAAATCTTTTTAAAAGTTGGTCCTTCCCAAATAGTTTGAGGAGTACTAGACTAGATTATATAGAAGTTATATGAAAATGATGCTGATTATTCAGATACACTGCATTTCTTCCAGAGAGACTGGTCGAGAGTCTCCGTCTGCCCCAAGTGCCGACTCTTCACTCCCAGGTGTTCCTGTTTTTCAGAGTGTTACTTTTGAGAATGTCTCCACAACACCTTACCTCACTCTGGCCCACCATGATCACAGAACTTGTGAGTTAATTTTAATTCAATCAAGTTAGAAATCTATATCATACAGTAATGTGATTAGCGTCAACATGCTGACTGGATAAAAACTAATTCTGGAAGAGAACTGATCTTTAGTTAAGCCTGCTTTTAACAAGTTTTTACATTTGAAATAGTAAAACAAGTCAGACTCCATCTCCAGTTGGCTTGGATTTCCAAATATGCAACATTCGCAATATTAGCTTGTCTCTTCTACACCAGATTTTTAACTTTGTCAGGCCTGGTTCCCACGTGTGCAGCAGTACTTACAGATGACTACAGAGGCGTTAGCTGGATTCCGTGGGCTGGCATAAGGCATGGACTCCCTCCTGACACGCAGCACCTACCCCAGTGAGGCTTGCTTCAGAGAGACTTTCACAAAGATTTTGTAAACTCCCAACAATGATAAAACCTTCCTGAGTCCCATTATGCCAATAATCCCTTTTCCTTCCCTGAATTATACCATCACTTTCATCTGAATGATTTGTGGAGTTGGGGAAAGGGAGGTGAGTGAAGAAAAGGAAAGGGATCTAATGATTCTGAAGATACAAACATTTAGAACTTCCCCACAAAGAAATTGGCTTTAATATTTTTCCTTTTTTAAATAACTGTAAAGCTATTCCATAATCAAATAAAAGCATGCTTTCCTCTCAGCTTTGTCAAATTATTGGCAAGGTTCTGTGCTAAATTCTGTTTTACTTTTGGGAATTAAGTATGACTTAAAGATCCTGAAGTTGTTTGGATTAATGAAAATATAGCCTGAAGACAACTTGAAAAAGATTAAGTATCAAATTTAAATAAACACTTATTTCACGGTCTTTAGGTGCAGGTATTTTTACTGATGGAGCAGGAACTCACTGCTGATGAAGATATTTCACGGTAATACATGATTTATTTCAGTATATTCTTATCAGCATTTAGTACCTTAAAGTCATCCGTAGTGTTATTTTACAAGTAGGAGAGTATAGATATTGTTTTATCTGAGTATTTTATATAGTTTATTGTTATCTGATCATATTTGGCCATAATATAGTTTCATATATTCCTTAAGGATCTTAGGCTGGATTAAACTGAAGCACTCATGACCTTTGGCCTCTAGGCACATTTAGCTCACAGCAGTATTGCTTCAGCCTTGAGAGTCGTGTGGGTTGCAGTAAGTCAGATCTTGCCCCTGAAACATGTAGCAAAGTCTTTTAAGAGTTTGACTGTCCGTAGGTATCCGTCATGGACGGATCTTCCATATAATCTCAATTTAATGTACTATAATTTATTATTTTTAGTAGAGGCAGTTTATTAATATGCAGTTAAATATAATGTTTCATTTATGTAGAAATTTTTATACAAATATGTTCATAAATTGTTCTTTTAAAACCACCTGTACTGAATATTTTATTCTTCAGTGCTTGGTTTATAAGAGTCCCTAGTACTGTTTATTATTATAGAAAGTTCTCCCTGCCTCATCGTTGCAGCATGTTAAATAGTAGGCAGGTTTCTTGGTTTTACAACTTCTATTTTTGTATTTCTTGAGTATAACACAAGTAATTCTGTAATATTTTTCCATTCTTAAAATTTAAAGAACAAAAGTATTTGATTTGAGAACAGCAAAATTAATCATTAGCTTGTCTAGCAATTACTGGCCCACCTATCAGGATAATTATGAAACTAATACCTGGCACTTTGAGATTTTCCAGAAACTACCTATTAGCATTAGCAACTGGTACAACTTTTACAGCACTGTCTCCTGTGTACAGGACTTCAGGCCCCTCTGTGGCTGGTCTGGAGACAACCTACACAGGAGGCAATGGCTTTTCCACTTCATATAACAGCCAGCGGTGGTTAAACCTGTATCTCTCTGCTTGCAAATTTTTGGATTTGGCTCTGGCATTGCCCTCTGAAAGTCTTCCTCAGTTTCAGATGTAAGTAAAACCAAGTATGTTAAATGGGTATTTTTGAAAATGCATTTGCTTTAGCTAATGAAATTTAAGACTAATTTAAAAGTTTATGTAAATTGAAATACTCATAATTTTTATTAAAATGTAATTCTTTGGGGGGGCGGTGACAGAGTTACTGGAAGTAAATGGTTGCTGTGGTTATATTAAGATTAACAGACCATTCAGTCAACAAACTGAGTGCCCACTGATGTGAGGCAGTGACTCACCAGCTTCAGTTCCAGTGTAGGAGACACACAGTCAAACAGGTGATGAATGTTCACATGACTCATATGCAGGACACTGTGAGGCCACAAAGCAGATGTCCGCTTTAGCTTTGAGGGTCAGAGCAGACCCTGAGGGCTTTTATACTGAGGTGGGACTCAAGAGGTGGGAATGGTCCTGGTGTCTGATGTATTGAAAGGTCAATATTGTGGAGTTGGAAGGTTGGAAGATGCGGCTGGAAAGGGACTGAATCGTGCAAGGTTTTTTAAACCTATCATAGAGAATCTGAACTTTAACCTAATGACGGTGGGAAGTCACTGAGACACTTTAAGGAATGATGTTTATCACTCTAAGAAATGAAGTGAAAGTTTATGTTTTAGAAATTTTATTTTGTATGGTTTGGAGAAAAGACTAGAGATGGGCAAGACTGGAATAATGGAGGCTTTTCAGATGACAGTGAATTGAACTAAAGAGACGGCAGAGGGGATTAGGGAAAAAATATAAGTAAATTCTCTTAAGTACTTTGTTCACAAATGCTCAAAATATTGAATTATGGTTTTCCATATTTAAATTTTTTAATGGATGAACCAAATAGGGTTGTTTTATCAAAATGTAGCAAAGATAATTTAAGAATTTTTCCACATGATCAGATATTTACATAATGTATTATATCACATTATTCTTTTAGAATGGAATATTAATAAAGAGTAAGATACTACAATCTTTCTTTTTATATTTGGACATGCTTAAAACTCCAAAAACTGCTGTTCCACAAGCTTACTTTTCTTTAATGATAAGAACTAGAAGTTGTTTTAGATTAATTCTACATCCTTTACATTATTTTTTCCATTTGGAAAGCATAAATATGTGCTTCTTGATGATCAGTGGTTAGGTATCTGTATTACTGATACTACTCCTGAAAAACCTCAAAAAAGGATACTAAGCAGAATTGTAGGAAGTGGCCAAAATTAACTAATTTTCAAAAAGGTGGTCACTGTAGTCTTCGGTGCTGTAGGAAGAACACTAAGTAGTGCGCTCCTGGGCCTGGCATGGTCGCTTCCATGATGAGAACCAAAGTGAGCTTATCCTCTTTACTTGTCAAGATATAGTTAATAGACAAGAGATAAAATATGCTGTAATACTGACTACAGTTTCAAAGAAATTTATTTTTTTAAACAAATCTAAAAAATAGTAGAAGACAACATGGAGAATTTAATCTTGAAAGAGTAATCTTTCTAAGCATAATTTTTTTCTAAAGTTCAAAATACTTGATAATAAAATTCTCGTTTGTGGGTGACTAAAAAGGACCATAAAATTTAAAAAGCAGCAGTGAGTTGGGAAAGGTATTTGCAGTGTGTGTCACAGAAGTCTGTCTTAATATGTAAAAATCCCAATAGGAAAATGGACCAGTGACAGAACTACTAAATAGTTCATGCAGAAGGAATGGCTTATAAACATACAAAAAGGTGCCCAGCAATATTAAGAGGAACCCCCATTTAAGTTATAAATAATCATCAGAATGGTAAAGATCTAAAAGCGTATTTCCCTTTCCTCTTACCAACAGAAAGCAGTATTCTTATGCTTGTTGGAAGTGCAGATTGATACTGTCCAGTTGTTTTCCAAAGAGGTTATATTTACCAAACTACATTTCCTCTTTAAGTCAGTAATTCTACACCCAAAAGATTTATCCTACCAGTATATTCTCAGATATGTGCAAAAAGCAGCACCATATGAGTATCTGTCACAGCACTATCTGCACTAGCAAGAAACTGGGCAATCTAAGGAAACTCATTAAATCAGTACCTTCCAACACTGGAGTATGTAGCTGTTAAAGAAGGATGGAGGTCTATTATCTCACTCTGAATTATGTAAAAAGAAACAAGCAGCAATTATGTTTTTAAAAATTTATTTTGAGAGAAAGGGGTTGGATGTATGAATATATGCTCTTTTATGCATAAACACTGTGGATGGATATACAAGAAACTGTAGATATTGATGGGTCCTATAGTGGGAGATTCTGCTTATATTTTTTCTATATAAATCTATACTGCTTAAATTCTGTCACAAATATTAATTTTACTGATAAGATACAAAAATACAAGGGAACTATGAAAGAAGTCCTACTTAAACTTCTCTTAAATTCTTTTATTTCTTTGCCCCCTTACCTGTACAGTTAGAGACCATCCTGGCAAGTATACAGTGGAGATTTTGCCTATTACTAATGATAGAAATATCTGTGGAGTTACTTGCCTTGTATGCATGAAAAAAAAAATAGCAATGAGCACTTTACAAGTTTACATATTCATTTATTCATTGCAACCCTGTGAGGCAGTTAATAGTAATGAAGAAAAGGCCCCAGTTAAGAAGCATGCCCAGGTGGCAGGGCTGTAAGCAGCCCAGCTAGCATTTCAATCTGTGTAAGTGGTGGGGCCAGGCTCTTTCTACTGTAGTTACGTGGCCTTGCGTAGGTGGTGCAAAGTCTGTCTCACTAATGTTGTATAATCCTTCTGTTCATAGGTACCGATGGGCCTTTATTCCAGAAGCCTCAGATGATTCAGGTTTAGAAGTCAGAAGGCAGGGCATACACCAACGAGAATTTAAACCTTATGTTGTACGACTAGCAAAACTTCTTCGGAAAAGGGCAAAGGTATTGCATCCTCTTTTTCTTTTTCATTTTTGTTGAGTATAAGAAGATGAATTTGTAAAATATATTTATATTGTTTTATATACTTTGTATCTTTCAGGCTAATTAGAGGTCTCTGCTCAAGAAAATAGTAAGGAATTTGGCAAGCTCATCAGTGGGCCTTTGCTGCAAATCTTTTTGCCCTTATTTCTTTTGCATTCAGAAAATTTCAAAAATAAAATGTACAGTTTGGGATATCTGGGTTGTTCTGTGAGTCCTAGTTTGTAGTATGTGCTTTGAGGGCTCAGAAATTTTCCAGTCTTCTGGGGTCACCTATTCAGACAGGAGCTCCTAAACTGCATTCCACAAGCTACAGAAATGTAATAGAGGAAAGTGATTAAAAATGAGGCTGTACTTGAAGGATAGAGGAACTCTATTTAAAATCAAGTTGTGTCTTTAGGGACTAAGCAAAGGACAAAGATGAAGATGAAAGTTGGGTCCAGAGAGTAGGATAGGACATGGGTGCTTTCTACTTTACGATCACAGGGTTTGAAAAAATAATCCCAACAACAAATCCAGAAGTAACGTAATTACGCACGACCCCAGGAACATGAACTTTGTCATCCCTGCATCTCCTTAGTAACAGAGGTTTCCATAAGACCCCCTCCCTTAACTAAGGAATAAACATGACAGTCTTTTGCCCAACTTTTCCCACAGAGTGAGAAGACAGTTTTGATTAGAAAGCATTTTTTCATTCAGAACATTTTAAACAAGGTCTTCATGGCCAAACATACTTTTCACTAAAACAAAGGCTGTGAGTTCTCCTCTTTCCTTCCACAGGACAAGGAGGAGGACTTTAAGACAGTGATTTTGGAGGGATTGGAGATGGCCAAGCATCAGGTGAGGGTGGCTTTTTGATGCTTGTGGTATAGCAGCAGAAATTGCCACATCTGGACCAAACATGGGGACACAAATCCAGCTCTGGTTCTCAACAAGTAAGAGAGAGGTCAACAGGAAGGAAGTTTTCAAGTTAGATTGATGAAGTGAAGGGAGAAATCCTATGCATACATGTTCGCCTATTTATTTCTGAGGACGGGGTGTGATTCTGATCATGAGGAGCAGCCCACTAGAGCAGGTGCCCTCCTCTTGGTCAAGAGCTTACCAGGAGTCCCTGTCTTAAGGTACATTTTGACAGGAATATACACCTCTTTCACTATAACTATAACTCAAGTAAGTTCTCTCTCCATTTGGAAACTCGCTGTGTAGAGAATTCAAGCACATTATTCATTTGTCTTCAGGTTAAACTCATCTCTGGACACATTTTAAATACGGCTGAGTTACAGTGTGACTTGGAGGGACTGCAGGGAGCCCAGTCAGGGGGTTGGCTAATGGTCATCAGGGATGTGAGAGTTAGTCCCTAGACTCTCAGTAAAGCCAGTGTTACAGTTAAGAGAAAGGCAAATGGTTTTCTACATCCTTTAATTTAGGTTTGAGGTTAAGTGCTAAGAAATAAAGTGATGGCTATTTTTTTCTTTTTTCTGGCCATGACGAACAGGACACTTTTCTTGTTTGCTCATATTTTGACTTAAATCTATTTTCCTTTCTCAGGATTTCATGTTTAAGTAGACAAACCTTGTGGTGCACACACACAAGAAAACAAGTTGGACTTTGCATCTACTTCTCTCCACTTAGGAAAAGTAGTGATATTAGAATATAGGGGAACTCTTGGGAACATCTGATTTAAGAAGGCCAACTACATATGTTAACACACATGACAGATTTAATTCTGCTTTGTACTCCCACTTGATTTTTTTCTTTTTCCCCAGCTTATTGTTTTCATTATCTCTTCAATGTGTTTTCATATTCATGATTTGCTCAAGTTCAAACACCTTCAATTCTCATATAACTTTCCCTAGATAGAATGGTGGCTACAACTGTTTGTATATTTTAGTTGACTTCTCAAACTAGCCTCAGTATAAATTATTTCACTTCTATGCTTATATTTGCCAGTGTTTTCACATACATTCTCATCTGACTTTTCTGTTGCAAGGTAGCTCATATTACTGCATTTGTGAGAGACTTTTCTGCGTTTTGCCTGGGAATGCCGCACAGTAAGGAAACAGCAGAACCAGGATACTAACCATTTTGACTCCTCACGTTGCTTAGCACAACACGGAAGTATATAAGTGTCTCTCCTAAGCATTCCTTTCCTTCTCTGTTCTGATAGTAATTACTCACTTTGGACCCTACCACCTTTTTTGGCAAGTTGAAGCCGTTTGGGTGGAAGGGGAATTAACTGATTTACTAATGGTGAAATGTATAAAGACTCTGTCCCTTCCAAACTGCTATAGTCATTTTGTGACTGAGTCCTTTGGATATTGTGGGCATCCAGAAATCTGGAAGCTTTTTGAGTATATGCGAAGCACAAAATAAACTTACAATATTTGACTCTCCCTATTCAAAACCAATTCTGCTACTAAGCAAGCTTATTTCATGCAGTCTAGTTGGAAAACGTCACTCCAGTGTTTGTTAGACTCCTCTACATATGCTTAGAAGCAAACATTTTAATCAAGTCTGGAATGGAAACCTAATGCTATCATTTGCATTCATAACTGTGTTTGCTGATGTTTATACCCTTTTAAGTTTTCTCATGTACTACATCATCTGTTAATAACAATTCCCTTTTTTTTTTCTGCAGAAGAATCCAGAGGAAGACAACTCAGGGAGAATGCTGGGTTGGGAGCCGGGGCACTTGCTGCTCACCGTTGGTACCGTGCGCAACATGGAGCAGCTGCTGCCGTTCTTCAGCGTCCTCAGCCAGGTCTTCAACAGCAAAGTCACCAGCCGGCGTGCAGGGCACTCAGGGAGCCCCACGCTCTGCGCAAACACCTTCCCTAACAAGGACATGGAGCTGGGAAACCACAAACCATTTTCTAGCAAAGCCAGGCAAAAAATAGAAGAGATGGTAGAAAAAGATTTTCTGGATGGGGTGATAAAAACTTGAGTACCACAAGTGATCCTGTTTAGTTTAAATGTATTTAAAGCAAACATGCTCTGAGTTGTACAGTTTCTGGGGTTTTCTTTTATATGTAACAAAACACACGTCAGGATGTATTTAATTTACATACTTGTAAATAAGAGCAAATGTCGAAATGTGGCCTGAATCAAGTTTAAATATTGTTGGCTCATATCAATTATGGTGCCTAAGAGAGATCTCTATACATATACATGGTCTGTTGTTTTGTTTTATTGTCCTGAGTTGAGTTGTCTTTAACATGCAAAATACACACTGCACGTTTTTTTTCTCTTGGTTTCCAGTTTTAAATTGGTTGGGGTTTTTTCTTTCCATTATTAACAACATCTGAACTATCAGAATGGTGTCAGTTCTCTGTCAGAGGCTTGGTAATGTATTAGAATTAGTTTTCTGCCACATACTTTAACTAAAAACTGAAACCTAGCCCTCTCAACTTCAGTACAGAGTAGGGATATACAGTCTCCTTAGTACACCTCTGATTTCCTGGTGATGTTAATCAAAGAGGTAAGTCATTTAAAAATCATTCTGAACACTTTGCTGTGGAAAAATTGGTTATATACTTTCCCACCCTCTCCATCTGTATCAACTGTGTTGAATACTGCAAAGTGGCATCTTGGTTAGGGATTGGCAATGGGAAAGACATCCCAAGGAGTTGGTAGTGAGGTTTAATTTCCCAGGACCCCTCATGAATTTTTCCCTGTTATATATTATAAAGTTAATGATTCAATCATATGCTTAAGCCCCAATGTTTTACACAAGCTTCACTTTTTAAAAACTGAATTTACAAGTATAGCAAGCATTCCCTAATCCAAAAGAAATATTCTGGTAGTGTGTAAGAAAAATGGTAACAATCTGATAAGGTGCACTGTGAACATAATCATAAATGTGTTTGGACCTGTCACAATAATGGCAATACCAACATTTTGTAAAAACTTTAAAACCCAGCTTCTCAAAAATATAAAAACTGTCTTCAGAAACCTGGTCAGGGTGTTTCTCCCACTCCTCCAGCCAGCTGAAATACCGCCAAGCTCACTTCATATGCAAGGGCGTCCGCGCTGTCCTGCCAATCACAGTAAAAGGGGTCAGATGAGAAAGACTCAGCGTCTACCAGCTACTTGAACTCAGGGAACGAGAGATTTTCCTGATGGTGTTTCACTACCATATTCAAGTGAAAACTTCATTTTTCATCTTTCAGTAACAAGTTTCAAGACTCTTAAATAAATGGAAAAGTCAGGTAAGTTCTTAAAATCAGATTAATTCTGAATGAATTCAGTAAAACCTCGTCCTTGAAGGCAAAAGGCCACAGTCAGCCTAGGAGAAGGTAACTTAGATCTTAAGGCCACAGATTGTCCTATCCTTGTTCACCAGAGATAATCACTCACTATATTCTGGGGTGGCCGACACTTCTGCGAAAAAAGGCTGCCAGCTACTGGGTGAATGGTAAAGGCCTTCGGAGTTCCTACGCAGCCCACTCTGTTCGGCCTCAGCGCGCAAGCAGTTTTTTCAAAGGTTCAAGGTGACAGATGAGCACATGAAGAGGGGAAAGCACAGTGCCCCAGGTCACCCCTGACCCAACAGGGAAGCAGCAGAGGCCCACTGTTGGCGGTGAAAAGGAGAATTTTGAAAAACAAATTAAGAATCTAGAGACGACGACGAATTTCAAGCAGCATGGATGATGGTACCAGATGATTTAGGAATGGGCCTCAAAACTGGTTGTTTATTTAAAGGAGGAAAAAAGCTTATGCAACCTCAAGTGGGTTATCTTCAACATGTGTCAGACTAGGTATCTATCAATCACTTATGTCAGAATAAGAAATAAGACAGTTTTAGAAATTCTGGGATAAATCAAGAGAAATATATTTGGGGAAATAAATCAAGAGGTTCTAATTTTGTTCAACTACCTAATTGAAGGAAATAGTTTTGTCGTCTTAATATGACTCTGTAAACAAATCTCTAACTCTTTAAATCCTTACACAGTAAGGCTGCACAGTACTGAAATAGTTTTCACTCCTTTCACCACTCCCCATTTACCCATGTTTTATCAGACTCACTTTGTATTTTTTCAATAAAACTGCCCCAGCTTACTTGCGAGTCTGCTTCTGCATATACTCGAACTATATCTTCTGTACCAGAGGGCCGGACAAAAGCTCGGGAAAGCTTGTACTTCTTCACCAGCTCATCGATTGCCTCCTGTAGTCCTGGAGGAGTAACTGCACGTCTTTCAGCATCGGTGGTACTGATCACTTGCCTGTCTGCAACCTATGCACAAGCATAAGCGTAAACTTATCAACATCATTCCAATCAAAGATTATGGCCATTTCATTTTAACAGTAACAGACCTACTTATAGGTCTGTTATTTCAGCTTATTATACCAAAAGAACACTGAAACAGGAGGTACCAGACTAAGCATAGGATGAAAGTACACTAAGATTTTACAATTTTTATTTCTGCCAAAATCAGGGTTACTGACTTCATCTGTACAGCTTCTCTGTTTCTTCAAAGAATGACCTTTAGCAAAAAGAGAGAACATTTATTTCCAGATTGTTTTACAGTTTCCACCACAAAAATAATGACCATTAAGTGCTGTATGACTTAGTCATTGATCTAATAATCTTAGGCATTTATAAAAAGAGGATACATGCCAACCTATTATATTAAGAGAGTCATGGTAAGAATCTACTAAATATGCCAAACGCTTATCTCAACAATCTATTAACTCAGTTTTGCTATCAGTATTTCATAAATTCTGTTATTGAACATGAAAACTAGTATAAATCTGTACAGAAATCAGCATTTATCTGAAATACCTTTAAAAACCTCCCTCCCTTTGAGCCCACAGATTCAACTTCTCAGCATCTAGCCGCAGGAAGTACTCTGTGAACCACGAAGAATACAGAGGATGTTTTCATGCGAACCGTCCAGAACTGCTTCAGAACAACATGGGAGATGTGGAGACTGCACAGAGCAGCAGGTGAGACCTGCTGAAGCTGCATACACAGCAGTTCATTAATTTGTTCTCTTTATGGCTGTTTTAAATTTTCCTTAATAAAATATTTTTTAAAGTGATACACAGTATCATTATTTATAATAAAGTTATCAACTAAATACTTCTTAAACAATAGAAAGGCTGAGGGCATCCATAATTTTTAAAGATGTAAGAAAACATGATAGAAGGCATTATTTGTGTGCATTATGTACATACAGAATGAAACAATGCATATGGGAAAACATTTTTATACAGAGATTAGAGATCATTGGTTTTACTTTAATTTTCAGAAAAGAAGTAATTTTAAAATCTTGCTCAGACCTTAACTTTGAGCTGTCTGTTTGGAAGATCTGTATAGAGAGCATCCCATTGTTCTACAGTGAAGCCCTTCAGAGTCAGGATCGCCTCAACCACCAGCATGTCGGAAATAGCGTCACCAGCTGCCTGCAAGACAGGAGACACAACGGAAGAAACCACTCACACACAAGCAAAGCTCAGCAATGAACGTGGGCTTCGAAAACCAATCCTGGTCCTGTACATCCTCCTGCCCTAATCTTCCTCATCTATAAAATGAGATTAGACTGGGTAACTGTTAAGGTTCTAGCATCAAAATTCTATGACTCAAATTTTTCTTTCTAACTGCATCCCTTTAGAGATACCATACCATGATGGAAGGCATCGTGCATGGTAAAGGGAACAAACACAAGGTTTGGTATAAGACAAACCTAAAATTGGACCCATACTCTGCCACTTAGTAGTTAGAAACCTTTTGTTTCTTCATTTATGAAATGGGAATTATAATAACTCCTTGCCCTGTGCTACTGGATCACCGATGCGGTATGTAAAGTGACCGTTACCTGCAAGCTGCTCAAACAATTGTTGCTTTGCTATTCCTTGTGTCCTGTACTTCGCTTGCTTTTCCACTGCCACATTCTACACCCCAGTCTCAAGGATTTGACCCACATACATTCAGTAGCTGAATCTTTTGACTCTGTGTTAGCTACTCATTATACTTGAAAATTTTCATCACAAACTGCAGTGGGATGGAAGCATATGAATGCTCTCACAGCATTTGTTAGACCTGAGCGTTTACACACCACTGCTAGAAGGAAGCTGCCAGGACTCATCACTTTCACTTTTTACACAGCACACTGCCCTAGCCACCTTCTGCTAATGTAAAAGTGACCCGAAGCCTGCCACCCCATCAGTTCTGACCTGGTTAAACAAGTCAATAATATTTTCAAGCATCTTAGCAGCTTTCTGTTTCTTATCTTCTAATTCTTTTGCTAGTTGTTTTATCTTCATTTCAGCAGCTTTACTAAACAGCACCTGCAACGAGAGTGCACAAAATCACAAGGTACTCTCGGTGCCCAGTCATAAGTACTATCATCCTGCTGAACTACTTCTGAAACTCAGCAAATCTGAAGAAACTGAGGATGAAAATAATGGCCTTAGAATGTATGAAATTAGTAAGATCACATCAGAACCGTAAAGATACTCTAGAGAAAAACAGGTCCTTTGTGGATTATAAAACTCGTTATCAACAGTACAAAGACAATGCCCCCCCCCACCCCCGCAAAAGCAAATGCATGTGATCACTGGTCTTCATTGTGTTCGACCTTCGGCCACCTACCTCAGCTCTGGGCCAAACAGGTTCCTTAAGCTTTTTACTTTGCAAAATATAATTCATTGCAACCAGTACAATTTTCTTGTCCTAAAATTTTTAAGGATATAAGCTCTGCAAAAGCAGAAAGAGGCTTTGTCATATTTATCACATTGTGATAAAGAGTGCTGTGGATATTTATTCTGTACATTATGTTCTTCAAGATTATCACTTTGAAATGCCTTGCCCATGATTTCAGTGCCTTCAGGGGCCCTGAACTAAAGAGGAATAGCATACTACACTCAGCCACTTGATGAAATACAGGTTTGCTGGTAAACTGAAGTGCAGGCTGGCCCCTTGTTTCTCTAGAGCACAGCCGTACCCACTCATCTACCTACACCAGCAGAGTGGAGGGGCCTCAAAAGAAACTTCATGACCCATGGCCTAAAATAGTTACTATCTGCCCTTTAAAATCATTTATCAAGCCCTGCATTAATTAGATCACTGAAGTTATATTTTAATTACATTTCCTACGAGTATTATTTTTCTTCTACTCATGTCCCCTAGAAGCCAATTTTGAATTAATGAGGAAAATAACCTAGATAACATATTTTTTTTTGTTCATCACAGGCCAGGTGAAGTATAGAAACATCTAAAAAATTCCAAAACCTATGAACACCCTAAAACCATTTAATATACTTTAAAGTGGTGAATTTCATGATATGTGAATTTTATCTCAAAAATTTTTAGACATTCTATGTTCAAATATTTAAACTCATTTCCAGTTGTTCATGTCTTAATTCTCAAGCTTTCTAACACTTGTTGATTCACCTTTTACCACTTGTGTAGCCACTTGAAGGAAAACATTTTAAATGATGTATAATCTGCTTATGAGAAGGTTAAGAAGTGTGTATTTTTTAAGAAACTGACAATATTATCACTTCACAAAGATTAACAATCTAAAAGACAACCATAGTTTCAACACACAGAATATATTGTTAACCAAATAGTCTTATTCTATCACCATCCCAATCATTTCAACAAACTGCAATTACCTTTACTTCCTATATATCAAATTCTCATCAAAAAAGAAAGTGCCAACTAAAGCCAGTTGTAATTGTTAACGAGACCTTACTGTGCCATGTCCGTTTGCTTCAAAATAAACTCCAATGTCAAATTCCTGCGCCTTGTGGTGTAGATGTTTTACTCCAGTTTTAGTGCAATACACAGGCACCTATAACATATTTAAGTACATACAAGAGCAGTTATTCAATCAGCAAACACTTATTGTGAACCTACTATCCTAGATTCAACAAGGAGCAAAATCTGGAGGTCAGTCTAGTGAGGAAGACAATCGAGCAAAACATAAAAGGGGAGCTTATCACCAGGGCGGCGCAAAGGGCGACCGCAACCGCAGCCAAGGGGAGGGGCGGGCGGGGGATGGGCCTCCGCAGGGGATGAGAGGTCACACGCTGCGGTGGCAGGATGGGATTGTTTAGAAAGCTCAGTTTAACTGCAGTGTGGAGAATGGCTCTATAAAGGCCCAGATAATAAATATTTTAGGTGTTGCAGGCCACATGTTCTCTGTCATGATTGTTCAATTGTTACTGTAGTGCAAAACCTACCACAGACAATACAACAACAAAGCATGGCTGTATTCCAGTAAACCTTTACTCACAAAGGGGTACCAGGCTAGATTTGGTCCATGGGCCTCTTGTTGCTAAACCCTGTCTTAGAAGGTTAAAATACAGGGAATCGGGTTTTTAGAACTACTCCCAGTTAAGAAATTATGATGGTTGGACTAGCAACAAGTGGGTAGTGAAAATCTTGGATGGATCTGAGAGGTAAGAATGGTTCAAGAAAGACTGATAGTGGCAAAACTGCGAAAGAGATCAAGATAAAAAAAAATTGGCATTTGACTGACTGTAGTCCTCAAGAAGTGCTACAACTAAAAATTTTAATCCATAAGAGAATGGGTTGCGAGTGACAGTTGCTGATGTATTTAGTTTGTTAAACAGAATATTTTACCCATAAGAAAATCTTAACACAGAAAATATTTAAAAAATAACCCAAAGACTGAGAATCCCTGTGAAACACAGGCACCTGGGCCCCAGATGAAGTCCCTTGAGTGTATTATTAAGTCAGGTCATAGACTAGTACCCTCTAGATCTGTTTTATTTTGCCTACCCAGTATTCCTTTTGAATTTTGAATCAGTTGCCAAGACTTACAAAGTAAGTAATTCATATGAAAATTCAGATTTTTAGCTGCTCTTGAAGAATCTGACTAAAGGTAACAGCAGCTGGCCTGCGCACACTCTTCCTAGTCTTTATCCACCTGCTGTATGCACCCACTTCACCTCTGGAGATCTTACAGGAATCTGACTTTGCCATTCCTGCTTTAAAAAGAACAGAACAGCAACAAAAACTAGTAAGATGCAAGAATTTGAAAAGGGTACTCAAAAGTTGGAGAATAATACACTAGCTAATGAGAAAAAGAGTAAAGGCAAACCTAATTTTGGCTGTAAACCCTCAAACTCTTACAGCAGGCAGTATGGTATAGAGAGGATGGTTATCTGGTGGATGTTGAGGAAATAATTAGCAACAAAATCTACCAACCCAGTAAACTTTAGACTAAGAGTGAGAAAACAATTCCATACTAAAAAGCTAAATAGCATACTAAAAACCAGACTGAGCCCAATTTCAGCAAGAATCTTGCTAGATCAGTTTAGCTAGAATCTCTTACCCTCAATATCTGATCACAGTCCAGATAATAAATATATGATCACCCAGGCCTGCCTACAGCAAAAATCCTGTTAGATTCAGCTAGAATCCTTCCTGACCCCTGGTGTTTCCTCTTAGCAATTTTCCAGACACCAACCACCATCCTCTCTGCAGACAGCCTTGCTCTGAAGTCATAAAATCCCCACTTTTCTTGTTGTCTTAAGAGTCCAGCCCAGTCTCTCCCCCAATGAAACCTCCCTGGGAAGTGTCCCTGTATCTATTACATAGGCCTGCCTCTCCAGAAAACTTCACAGCACCATTTGTCAAACATACAGTTTAACTTAAATTTACCTTAAATAATTGGGGTGGCACCATCCTGTTAGCTAATAGTCCTTATTTATCCAAAGGAATAATAGAATTCTTCTCTCTCTACAACAAACTGGTGTGCTGGCTGGCTCTGATCCGTAACTACATTAAGCTCTCAGCAGATAGGGAGATAGGGTGCTGTCCTCCTTGACGTTTACATTACAGAGGTGACTTCCAGCCCTACAGTGAAGCATTCTGGAGCTGTAAATGGAGCTGTAAATCTGGCTTTTTTAGCCTTTAAAAAGATTTACATTCATTACAATGGGACAGAGAAAGAATTTACTAGTTTTCTAAAAAATGTTTATGAAAAGGGGGAGAGAAAAGTCTCTTTTCCTTTTTGTATCGGAGAATTTAATTTTTCTTACTTTTGATTTCTATTAAATGGACAATAGCTCAGCCTCCGGCACTGCAGCCTACTCACTTTTAAGAGGGCATTATTTTCCTCACAGGAATACCCTAATGATAGAAGTAACCAGAAAACAGAAGTGGTTCAGTACCTTAATAACGTCTTCAAGATACCTTGTTGAACTTCCATTTGCATATGCAGTTTGTACAACACCAATATTCAAACTTTCTCCAATCTAGACAAAAACAGTGGTAATTACCTTGCTAGCCTAGGTGAAGATGCCACAAAAGCAAGCACACACCGAGAGCACTAAAGGATGACAACGTGACCAGCCGGGTTGGCTGTGCCTTGGCTCATGCAACAAATGACTGGAAATTTATATGTGTGCCAGAAGAAAAGCTAAAATATTTTTGAGTATTATTTAAATCAATTCTACAAGAAATCTTCTATAAAGCAAGCCTGAGGGTTCTTCATCTCTATCTCTCTACTTTTTTAACAAAAGTATTTACTGAATTCTTAAAGCATACCTTTTCCATATAATAATGATTACCTCCCTTCACATCCTGTACTTAAGGCTAGCCTGAGATTTCCAAAAGAGCGAATCTGATCTCTCTCAAGTCTATCATAATCACAGTAAATAAATCTCTCAGAGGATGAGGCTTTTCTGTGTAAACTTTGAGACTTCGGAGAGTGATGATGTAACTCATTAAAGTATCAGTTATTGTTAGGCAGCAAGACAAGATATGAGCAGGTGGAGGGAGAATAAAGCTAGTAGAGCCACTAAACGGGACTCGAAGACTTAACCAGATAAAACCAAAGGGCCAGAAGGGACTCACAGTTAATTAATTAGTTAAAGTTTCAAGGGTCAAGAGCAACTTGGAACGTCTGGATATTCCTCAAATAAATGAAAAGTATCCAAGCACAGCTCGTCTTCATTGATTGTACCAACTAGATCATGCCATTGTAAAATCTACTTAGCCGGCAAAAAGGCCCAGCTTATTCTTTAACTTAACTTAACCCTGTTTTAATGCTGTTTTTTCCAATTCTTTCAGCCCCTTAATTAAGTAACTCTGTAACCAGGACAGGATACAGAACTCCAAAGTGTAAATAAACTTATGTGGATAAAGAATGCTGAGATCTGAATCAACAGTCACCTAAATACCCCTATTCTTAAGACAAAACTTCAAAGGAATTATGAATCACCTGTATACACCATGCCTTATGCTGACTCCGACCCAAACCCTTAGGGGCACCTCTTCTCTAAGGTTGTCTGCACTCCCCTTTCTTCAATTGTGTACTTTGCCTTAAATAAAAACTTCCCAGTGCTCAACTTACTACATTTTCTCTCTGTGGTCTTCCAGTGATAAAGTGTCTTTGTTACTTTGCTATTTCATTCTGTTCTCCAGACGTAAACACAGATCTTTGCTCTGACTCTGTCCTACTTCATACAACCAGGGAGGGGCTTCTGGGACCTCTGCTTTGGGCTTGCACGTTCCGGCAGCCAGGGGGACCCGGACGGGACTGCAGCTGTACCACCATGCTCCTCGGTAGCCTGCCTGGAACTCCCCTCTGTTTGCCTTGGGAAGCTACCAGAACATAATCTCCCTCCATCTAGTGCGCTGCAGCTCCCTCAAATCCTGGGGTGGTAGGGACTCAGTTCCCATGCCACGCAGATTCCAGCAGACACCAGACACCAGGTGACCTGGCTTCAGGAGCTTCAGGAGCTGGCAGGGGATGTGCCCTGTGCCGAACAGGAGTTCAACAAGCTTCCCTTTCCTGCCTCTTCTCTCCCTTGCTCTCTGCTGCCTGCAGGCGGCTGCCACTCCCTGCTACTCTCACTTTAATCAATTCCTTCCTCATCTTATACTCTGACTTTCCTGCATCTCTGAACTGAATTCCTCCCCAACATTATGAAGAAACCAAAGCTTCATAAAGCTTCAACTCCTCACAGTCTGCCAGTATAAGGAAGAAAATAATATTTTAGGGTCCAAGTGCCCCAATGTTGAAATTATTGAAATCATCACCTTTTTGTATTTTCTGGCCACAATGTAAGGAATTTCCCATAAACTGTTCCTTTGAGACATTCAAATGACTGTCTGACACAGAATCATTTCATCGGTAAGTCTTATCTCAAAGGGTGATCAGCCTCCCAGTGCAGACCTCCAGCAGGAGCTCCTTGAGGAAGCCGCTGATGAGCGCTGCCACCTTGTCTCCGTCCACAAGGCGGAAGCGGCCGTCCGCGTCACGGTAGTGATACACTATTCTGTCTGCATCGCCGTCAAAGGAACAGCATCTTTCACAGGACTTCATTTCCATTCCTAGCACACAGAATATTCAAAATGCATTTTAGTCTATAAGATATGGGAATAAAACTCAATATAAAAAAATGTAGGGTTTTCTCTTATACTAGGGAAATTTTTTTCACCAAAATATAATTGGCATCATAGGTTACATGTAAGTGTACCCACTATAATTTTTCAAGAGGTATTTAAATTATTCTTTCAAATAAAACCAATGTCTTCTAGGGTAAATTCCTTCAGAGCTAACCGAAAAAGGAGAATTTAAAATCCATCTCTGCTGAAACTTGATAAAATACTAAAATAAAATTCTATTTTATAAGCCAGTCAGTTTGGTTAGACAAGTTCCCATCTAGTTTGCTGTCAATTACAGGTATTTCTGAGTGCAATACACCTAGTACTAGAAGGTTCCTTACTAAGAAATATCAGCAATAGATAAGGTATGTGCTTTGATTTAATTCTCACAGAAGTGATCTTTATTTGTTCACACCATCAACAACAAGAAACACTGGTAATTAAGAGCCAAGAATTACCTGTGAGAGAGAAATGGCTTATGTAACTTGCAGAAAGTTACTGAAACCTCTGCAACTATCACGTGAAATTTATTTGAGATTTTGGTATTCCTTAGCCATGACAGCAGCAGACTGACAAAGCCAAGAGGCAGCTAAGAAGTATAGTTTTTGTCTGGAATATGAATATAAGGTCACCTACAGGGCATAGCAAGAGCTTCAGGACAAAGGCGTGTGGTTTCGTCCACGCTGCAGTCCCGGCATCAGAGCAGGAGGAACTCAGCATCCAGGGAGTGGGTGAGTACGGGACTGACAGGCGGTTCACCCAGGAACTCTGAGACCTGCTACAGTTTGAGAACCACTGCTCTAGAATACCACTTTCTGATTTTGCCTTCCCTGCCAGATTTCCTACACGTTGTGAAGAGTCCTATAACTTACAGGCAAAAGGAGCCAGGAGGAGTCACGGCTCTCAACCTACCCGGGCGACACAGAGTGTAAATGAGGTTGGCTTCAGAAAGCCCTAACACTAAATGTTCACATACCCTGTGGAGGTTTTTGATGACTTTTTACGAAGTCAGCTCCACATAAATGATTGAGTTTCCCTTTGGTTCCATCATTGAACAGGTGGACTGACAGCCCCTGGGAGAAGTAGTGTTCCATTTCTCTTAGCTTCAGGGCCCCTATGCCATTTGCACAGTCGACCTTAAGGGATCTATATTCATTTCCACTGTAGAAAGCCTTAAATATAAAAAACAAATTAAAGAAAAATTTAAGTTATCAAAGTAAAAGTGAAGCATAAAGCATATATATGTGTATTATCTTCCATTACTTAAGTTAACTCTCCTATTTTAACCAAGAAAACAAAAGGGTATGCAGATTCAGATGAAAATTGAAAAACACGAAAGTAAAATTTTAAAACACCTTTTTACATGCTGTTTGATACTAGAACAGTTTCACTGACTGAGTAAGTTAGGGAAATGGAGCCTAATTATAAGCTAGCTTCAAACAGGGTCCCTTAACAGTAACACAATTTATATTACCTGACAGTCATTCAAATGTGAGGATGTGTATAAGCGTGAATGAGCAGTAATAGCATCTACCATTCTCTTCATGGGATATAACACCCCTGTGTTTGGTGTTTTTCCCTAGTTGTCAGTCTCCCATTCATCCTCACTTCAGACTAAGTTCTATGAGAGCAAGGGCTTTGCTTTGGTTAACTGTGCCTGACAAAAACCTACCATCAGTACCTACTGATCGAATGAATCATACTCCTCAAATCTCTAGGATCAAGAAGCTAATACACCGAGACTAAACGAAGTCCTTCCAACAGCAGCTGCCCCAAGCACACTGGCAGCACCCACATTAAGAGCAAACTCATCCAAACAAATACTCATGACAGCCTCACAAACCCCACGGCTTCTCCCCTGGTGATGCCCCTGCCCAGAAGCCGCCGACACACAGGCAGCAAGACACACGGCCCAGACCTCGCGGAGCCCGAGAAAGGGAAAGGAGATGTGCTGCACTTTTGAAAAAAGGAGTGACAAATGATCTAATGAAGATAAATTTTTCAAATGATGTCATTATATTCATTTGCTTAAACTTTAACCATGTTCAAGAAATTCTTTACCTGTTTGGTAAGTTCCACAAAGGCCCTGGAGAGTTTCTGGTAGTAACCGTCTATGGTTGCCTCTCCATACTGGCCACTGGTATTCCGGCAGTACACCATGTAGTGCAGCTGGGGCGTGGTTAATAGGCCATAATCTGTCACAGAAGTACAAAAACAATTTACCAACTTAGGTGTGCAGACGGCAGAGTAGGAGGCTCCCGACCTCACGACCTCTCACAGACATATCTAGGCACACCTACATACAGTGCCTTACTGTGAAAGCAGCTGGACCACTAACAACATAAAGAAAATGCCACAGTGAGAAAGGCAGGAAGGGCAGAGCTGTGGCTGAGTACCAAACATACCCTCCACCACCTGGATGGCGACGTACAGGAGGGCATCCCAGCCACAGCGGTGCCCCCGAGAAGCAAGTGAACTGAACCCTAAGTGGGAACCCTGCCCTGGGATCTAAGTCAGGAAGACCAGCCCACACTACATCTGGCTTTGAAAATCAGTAGGACTTACCTCCAGGAGCCACAGGGCTATAGGGAACTGAGACTCAGCTCTTAAAGGGCCAGCACACTATATCACTCACTGCAACTCAGCACAGAGGTGCACTTTGAAAAGAGCCTGGGTTATACAGGAAGATTTACTGACTAATTTTAGGGCATGGGCTGGAGGGGCAAGGATCTGTAGAAACTTTCTCTGGGAATGGAAAGCCATGGACACCACTTTTCTTGTTCTCCTTCAACCCAGCTGGCCTGACACTGGCAGGTGCCAGTTCTGACAATCTCCCATTTACCTTGCCAACAATGATTGCCTGGCCACACCCAATCCACATGCCCCAACAGGGACCTCCATCCAAAGCAACCCCTACACAGTGTGTCTATGTGAACAAAGAGATAGAAAATACACAGAAGACAAAGGACACTATCAGCAGTATGGGAGAATATATTTGTAAATGACATATCTGACAAGGAGCTAACATCCAAAATATATAGAGAAATCATACGCCTCAACACCCAAAGAGCAAATAACCCTATTAAAAAATGGGCGGAGGATATGTACAGACAATTCCCCAAAGAAAAAGTTCAGATGGCCAACAGGCACATGAAAATATGCTCCACATCACTAATTATCAGGGAAATGCAAATTAAAACCACAATGAGATATCACCTCATGCCAGTTAGGATGGCCAACATAGAAAAGACTAGGAACAACAAATGCTGGAGAGGATGCGGAGAAAGGTGAATCCTCCCACACTGCTGGTGGAAATGTAAACTAGTTCAACCATTCTTTGCAATATGGAGGTTCCTCAGAAAACTAAAAATAGAACTACCATTTGACCCAGGAATTCTACTCCTAGGAATTTACCCTAAGAATGCAGCAGCCCAGTTTGAAAAAGACATATGCGCCCCTATGTTTATCACAGCACTATTTACAATAGCCAAGATATAGAAGCAACCTAAGTGTCCATCGGTAGATGAATGGATAAAGAAGATGTGGTACATATGCACAATGGAATATTATTCAGCCGTAAGAAGAAAACAAATCCTACCATTTGCAACAACATGGATGGAGCTAGAGGGTATTATGCTCAGTGAAATAAGCCAGGTGGAGAAAGACAAGTGCCAAATGATTTCACTCATCTGTGGAGTATAAAAACAGAAAAACTGAAGGAATAAACAGCAGCAGACTCACAGAACCCAAGAATGGACTAACAGTTACCAAAGGGAAAGGGACTGGGGAGGATGGGTGGGAAGGGAGGGAGAAGGAGAATAGGGGCATTAAGATTAGCATGTATAATGTAGGGGAGGGGGGCATGGGAAAGGCAGTATAACACAGAGAAGACAAGTAGTGATTCTATGGCATCTTACTATGCTGATGGACAGTGACTGTAATGGGGTATGTGGTGGGGACTTGATAATGGGGGGAGTCTAGTAACTACAATGTTGCTCATGTAATTGTATATTAATGATACAAAAACAAAAAAAACCAAAAAAACTCAGGTGACTGAATGAAAAAAGAAAAAGAAAATACACAGAATAATCAACCAGAGCTGAATAATTCAATATTTGAAATGAAAAATAACTAGAGGAAGGGTCACCTGCCTGTAAGAGCTGCAGCCAGGCCCTTCACTGACCACACCAGAGGCCAGCCCCCGCCAACAGTGCGCCTGACATGCCTGCAGCCCAGCCACAATGAGAGGGCACACACAGCCCGCACAGGGGACCCCCATGGAGGGCCTGGCTCCAGTCACCAGTGGGGGCGCACTACTGGGCCCACAGAACACCGGCTACACAAGACCATTGCTTAAAAGACCCAGAGATATCTTTCTACCTTGTAGTAGGTAGAAAACCAGAGTCAAATAAAATGAGGAAATGGAGGAATATGTTCCAAATGAAAGAACAAAATAAATGTCAGAAAAAGAACTAAAGAAAACAGAAATAAGCAATCTCCCTAATAAAAAGTTCAAAATGCTGGTCATAAAGGTGCTCACTGGACTTGAGAGAAGAGTGGATGAACTTAGTGATAACTTCAAAAAGAAATAGAAAATACACAAAAGAATCAATCAGAGTTCAGAGTTGAAGATCACAATAACTGAAATGAAAAATACGCTAGAGAAAAATCAACAGCAGACTGCAAGATGTAGAATGGATCAGTGATCTGGAAGACAGGGTAGTGGAAATCACCTGTGCTGAACAGCAGAAAGACAAAAGAATTTTAAAAAAAGAGGACTAGTTAAGGGACCTCCAGGACAATATCAAGTGCACTAACATTTGCATTATAGAGGGCCCAGAAAGGGAAGAGAGTTGAAAAAAACTTATTTGAAGAAATAAATAACACCTGAAAATTTCTCTAACCTGGGGAAGGATAGAGACATCCAGGTCCAAGGAACACACAGAGCCCCAAATAAGATGAGACCAAGGAGGTCCACATCAAGACACATGATAGTTAAAATGTCAATGATTAAAGATGAAGAGACAACCTTAAAAGAAGCAAGAGAAAAGCAATGATTTATGTACAATGGAGACTCCATAAGACTACCCACTGATTTTTCAGCAGAAACTTTGTGGGCCAGAAGACAGAGGCATGATATAGTTGAAGTGTGGAAAGGAAAAAAACCTACAACCAAGACTACTCCACCTTGTAAGATTATCACTTGGAATTCAGTGAGGGATTTCCAAGGCCAACCAAAACAAAAGTTCATCACCACTGAAGAAGCTTTACAAGAAAGGTTAAAGAGACTTCTTTAAGTGGAAGAGAAAAGGCCACATTTAGAAATAAGAAAATTATGAAAGGAAAAGATTTAAGTGGAAAAGCAAAATCATAGTAAAAGTAGTAGATCATTCACTTATAAAGCTAGTATGAAGTTTAAGAAAAGAGTAGTAAAATCAATTCTATCTACAATAATTAGGGGATACACAAAATAAAAAGATGAAACCTATGACAGCACATACATAAAACATGGAGGGGAGCATAAAAATGTAGCACTTTTAGAATGTATTCAAACTTATCATTAACTTAAAATAGACTTTTATATACATAGGACATTGTATGTGAACCTCATGATGGCTACAAACCAAAACCTATAATCAATACACAAAAAATAAGAAGAAAGAAATTCCAAGCATAACACTAAAGAGACTCATCAAACCCTAAGGGAAGAGAGCAAGAGAAGAGGGAAGGACCGGAGAATACTAACAAAAACAACCAGAAAACAATAAAAAAGTAACAGGTACATACCTATCAATAAGTACTTTAAGTATAAATGGACTAAATGCTCCAATCAAAAGACAAAGGGAGACTGAATGGATAAAAAAACAAGATCCATCTATATGCTGCCAACAAGAGACTCACTTCAGACCTAAAGACACAGAAAATGAAGAGATGGAAGAATATATTCCATGCAGATGGAAGTGAAAAAAGAAAGTGGGGAAAGCAATAATTATAGCAGAATGTATGAAGCTAGAAATTAATTACTAGAAAAAAAAAACACATGGAAGCTAAACAATATGCTACTAAATACCGAATGGATCAACAAAGAAATCAACGAGGAAATTAAAAATTACCTGGAGACAATTGAAAATGGAAACACAACAGTTTAAAATTTTTGCTACATAGCAAAAGCAGTTTTAAGAGGGTACTTTATGGCAATACAGGCCTACCTCAAGAAACAAGAATAATCTCAAATAAACAACTTAACTTTATACCTAAAGGAACTAGAAAAAGAAGAACAAAGCCCAAAGTTAGTATAAGAAAGAAAATAATAAAGAACAGAGCAGAAATAAACAAAATAGAAACTTTAAAAACAATAGAAAACAACAATGAAACTAAGCTAGTTTTTTGAAAACCTAAACAAAATAGATAAACCTTTAACCACATTCATCAAGAGAAAAAAGAAAGCCTCAAAAAATAAAATCAGAATTGAAAGAGAAGTTACAACTGAAACTACAGAAACACAAAAGATTATAAGAAATTACTATGAAAAGTTATACACCAACAAATTGGACAACCTAGAAGAAATGTTCAAATTCCTCTAAAAATACAATCTTCCAAGACTGAATCAGGAAGAAACAGATAATCTGTTTGAGCACACCAACTAGTAGTAATGAAATTGAATCAGTAATCAAAAAACCCCCAACAAATGGAAGTCCAGGACCAGATTACACAGTTGAATTCTATCAAACACTTAAAGAGATATCTATCCTCAAACTATCCCAAAAAATTCAAGAGAAAGGAATCCTCCCAAATTCCTTCTATGAATCCAACAGTATTCTGATACCAAAACCAGAGAAAGACAGTACAGAAAAAAAATTACAGACTAATATCCCTGACGAAAATAGATTTAGAAACCCTGAACAAAATATTATCAAACCAAATAAATTCATTCCTCACAATCAAGTGGGATTTATTCCAGGGATGCAAGAATTGTTTAGTATCTGCAAATCGATCAATACATATCACATTATCAAAAGGATAAAAATCATATGATCCTCAATAGATGCTTAAGAAGCATTTTATAAAAAAATCTTTATAAAAGATAAACACTCTCAACAAAGTAGGTATGGAGGAAACACAACATAATACAGACCATGTATGACAAACCCACAGTTAACATCATACTGTGTGGTGAAAAGCTGAAAGTTTTCCC